CCCCTCTCTGGAGGGGGTGGGGTGGGCATGGGAGGTGGGGGTAAAGACAGCAGGGAGGGGCTATGACAGCCACTGAGTCCCAAGTGCAAAAGGACATGGTGCAAGTCTACAGCCAAGCCCCCTTGCTCCCACCCCAATCCTGCCCTGCAGACCCCAACTCAGCCTGGGAAGTCCACAGTGGTGACACCCATGTGCTGGGGGCTCATCCCTGGGTTCATGTCCCTGTGCCCAGCAGCACCCCTGAGCCCCTGAGCAGGGCAACAGAGGAATGTCTGCAGTGAGGACTTTGGGTGGCAGGGAGATGGGGTCAAAAGTCACATCACATCTCTGAGCCTTCCCTCCTCTCTCACAGGGGCTATGGGACTGCTGGAGACAAAGGGGACCAGGAAAGGCTTGAGGGGCCCTGCACAGACACTGATGGAGCTCCTGCCCCCACAGGGACTCTGTGACATTTCCTGCTCCCTGAGCTTCCACCTGCAGAACCCTGTGGCACCCGCCCCCAGGGTCAGAAGGCCCAGACTGCGGCCCAGCGCCCTGGGAGCCGTCTCAAGGGTTCAGCCCGCCTCCGGGGAGGACGCTTATGTTTCCTGCAAGAAAGTGGTCCAGCCCCCGCCCATCCCCTCACCCTTGTCCAGCAGCTGGTTGAAGAGCAGAGTGCTTGAGAAGAAGAAGAGGTAGGCCAGCACCTGGGAGACGATCTCGGGGTGCACCTGGCACTGCTGCAGGAGGTCCAGGGCAGCCTGGTAGACGGACACGACACGGCGCAGCTCCTCTGGCAGCTGGGAGGCCGGGCACCAGCTCTCCCGGGGCTCCGTGTGGAAAGGGGGGCATTCCAGGAGGGCCGGGAGGCAGACATACAGGGACTGGGGGCCAGAGGAAGACACCAGTGGTTGGCAGAGCCTGGGGCACAGGCCTCAGGGTGGGGGACTGACAGTGCACACACCAGTTTCCTACAAGAGCTGCCTGGGAGTGTGGAGGCTCAGCACAAGCTCCTGTGAGAGGTGCAGGTGACACTGACACCAGGAGACACAAAGGGGATCCAGCAAAGGGTCCGCAGACACCCTGAGTGTCTTGAGGGAGGAGAGGGGGAGGGTTTGGGTGAGGAGGGGCTCCCCGTAGAGCTCAAAATCCTCAAATAGCAGGTGATGGGGGGAAAGCGTGCGGCTCTTTCCAGGTCCCTGAGCCCCCCAGAGCCAGGAGGATGGGGCACACCTTGGAGATGTAGTACACGCACTGCTGGAAGGCGTACAGGATGACCTCCTCCAGCTCCGCCATGGCCTCCTCGCTGGCCGAGAGCGCACTGGAGAACAGGGACTCCTTTGAGCCTGCAGGACACAGCAGCACAGGTTAAGGAGGGGACAGCAGATGAAGACACCAGTCTCCCTGATGGACATGCAGCATGGTCCCCACTGTCCTGGAAGCTCTGCTCAGGGTTGGAGGGCGGTGCTGGGTCTGCCAGGGCCAAGAATCGCTCCCAGCACTCAGGTAGGCCTCCCAGGAGCACAGACCTGCTGCCCTGCTGCTGGACAGCAGAGAGGAAATGGTGTGCGAGGCATCGGAGGCCTCGCCCCGCCCACATCTGGACACGCGGCCGTCCCTGTCTTGCTGTTCATGGCACTTCCCCTTCGAGCTCGGGCTCCTGCCCCTCAGCCCACAGACAGCTCACTCCCCAGAAACCACCTGACCCCTCCCCAGAGCCTGGCCTTTGGGGTCTCGTTTGGGACCCTGACAGGGTCTGGATGCTCCCTGCAGCCTCACCAGGCTGCGTGAGGGGCCCCAGGTCTGGGGGAACAAGAGGCTCTTAAGTGGCTGCCAGCTGCAGTGCTCCCTTCTTCCAGAGGCTCCAGGCCACAGAAACACCCGAGGCTGGCGCCACTGCTGCCCGGAACACACGCAGACCAGCCATGTCACAGCCTTGAGCCAGGGGGGACGTGGCGGAGAAACCCAGCTGCAGCCCTCTCACCGCAGCGGAGCAGTGTCCTGCTCAGTGTCAGGAGGTAGCCTGCAGCCCCCCTCCCTTCCTCCCGTGCTGGCTCCCAAGGCCCAGGATGGAGGCCACCCGTGTGGGTACCCAAGGACCCCCCAATCTACAGGTACCAGGCAGAGTCTCAAAGACTTACAGGAGGATTGTTAATGGGTGAAACACCCCCCTTAGCCGGGCTAATCTTCACCGGCCTACGTGAACGAGGTCTCCTGGATAAGAGCTTCACACACAAAGATTCTTTGGGGAATGAAAGGCGACTTTTCCAGCTCAGGACGGGACATCTCTGCTTTTAGATCTTCCCACAGATACTTCCTGTGGGAGGTCAGGAGTCCGAGCGCCGGCCCTAACCTTCCCTTCACCCTCTGGTTGACGTTATTTTTCCTCTGAGCTCTCCAGCGCCTGCACTGCATGGGATATTGTCTCCAGGCCGCTCAGATCCTGCTGAGGCTTTCCTGCCAGCCGGCGTGGTCCCAGGGTTCACAGAGGCGGGACCCCCTCCCAGCATCCACTGGGCTGCATGACATCCGGGCTCCCCCACCAAAAATAACTTCCTCCTAAGACCGAGACAGCAGCTAAACGACCAGTGACCATCACCCACAAGCAGCTTTCCCAGGAAAACCATCCAGACGCCGGTCCCTGCGCAGTGGGTTCACCCAGCTGCATGGTGCCGGCGGAGGGTGCAGTGCAGGGGCAGGATGTCGGGGGCCGAGAGGGGCTCGCTGGAGGGGTCCTCTGGCCCACCGTGTGCCACTCTCAGTTCAGCACGCACACCAGGCTGTCCTGGAAGGCAGGCAGGGCCCTCAGGGCAGGACCTCACCCGCAGCGAAGGTGTCCCTGTCCATGCCTCTTGATAAGGCAACTGTCCCATGAACACTGTGCCTAAGAGTCATGGGGAGGGGGAGGCTCCCAGCTGACTCTCTCTGCTGGAGCCAGAATCAGTGGGGTTCCTCGAGAGCATGCCCAACCTCCTGACATCTCGCAGGACAACATGCACTTAGAACGGGCCACAGGTCCAGACTCTCGCTGGCCAAGGCAGAGTCCAGAGGAGCCCCCCATGCAGGTCCCGCTGCAGTGCCTGCGACATTGGTCCTGGGTAGCTAGAGGCCTCCGAGGAGACTGCCACGCTTGGAGAGGGAGGTGATAAGAGGCCTCGAGGGGAGGACAGGGCAGGCTGGAGGGGAGAGGCCCTGGCTGGGCAGACTTGGGCAGGGCAGGTGTGCCCGTCACATGCAAGGGAGCCGGAAAACAGGTCGGCTTCAGGCGCAGGCCTTGTGGAGAGAGAGGGCAGTGGCCCTGCGCTGGGAGTTCTGACACCTCCCACGGTGTCCGACCAGGGGGAACAAGGGGCAGAGGCTGCAGGCCAGTAAGCTGTTTTTTCAGGTTCTTTCCTCCCGGGAGACAGCTGAGCATGCACAGACGCTGTGCTGCGTCCGCTGACCCAGCCCATGGGGAGCCCCAGCCAAACCTTTCCCGCCTGCAGCCTGGGCCCCGAGAGGCAGGGCAGCCAGGCCACGTCTACTCGGGACCCTGAGCTTGTGGTGCAGCCCGCGACAGACCGAGGTCCCACAAACGGGAGGGAAGGGTGAGAGCTTTGTCTTTGCCGTGGCAGAGAGAGAGAGGCTGTGTGGGCAAAACCAAGCTCATCCATGCGAGGCTGTGGCCCAGCCCCTGGGCGCCCGGCTGTCACATTCTATCCCACTGCAGGACAGTCCTGCTGCTCCTTGGCTCCGTCCCAGGACCCACCATGCCTCGCCAGACCCCACAGAGTCCCCGTAAGACACACACAGTGAAATCCCACGTGGCCTCGGGGCGCAGCCCAATGCCACCTTCCCCATGAAGCCCTCCCAGACTGTCCGTCCCAGTCACTCTCTCTTACTCTCTTAATCTTTTCACACTTTACTCAACCCTAAGATGTACCATGTCCCACACTTTAGTCTCAGAAATTGACTTGCTCTCCTTGGTGACCCACCTCCACTCTGAAATGGTGGAGCGTCTCGTAAAGAAGGGTGGTTTAGGGCCGCGGCACAGGAGTGACCTGTGTCCCCCAGACCCCCAGGCAGAACACAGGAGAGAAGCCCATGAAATGATAAGGACAGTGCCAGGGCCACGAACGACAGGTACCAGGTGAGCCCAGTCGTCAGTGTCGCTTCCCCCTCAGGCAGCCCCTGTCCCGAGACGGCACGGTGACCGCACGCTGGCCGCGCTCAGCCCGCAGCTCGGCCTCACCTGCGATGTCCGGCCCCTGCTCCAGGCTCTGCATGTAGACGGGGCTCCGCTGCTGGATGAAGTAGAGCAGCTCCACGGCGTTGGCCATCCACAGCAGGATGTGCTGCAGGTCGGGCAGCAGGCTGCCCAGCGAGAAGCTGGCCGAGGTCACGGGGTCCTGGCTGCGGGAAAGAGACTGGCATCACGGGGACGCTCGCATCAGTGGGACACCAACAAGAACTATGACCAAGGCAAGGCTGGGAAATGGGAGGAAGATGCGTGACCTGTCTGACAGGGACAGCGGGGCACTCCCACCACCCTCAGCAGGAAGGCCCCCGGCAGCCACGGCCACTGCGAAGGACTCTGGTAAGCAAGCCATTTCCCGCCGGCGAGTGTTGAGTGTGCACGGGGAGGGGGGTCTTCAATCCGCCTGCAGTGCCGGAGCAGGGACTCTGATCCAGAGTGACCGGGGCCCGGGAGGAAGTGTGCGGGGAGGCTGGGCCCCATCTGCTCGAGTCACCCTGCCGAGCAGCAGCGGGGCTGAGGGACCGCAGGCGCCCTTCCCCAGCTGTCCCGTGCGCAGTCTCGTCCTTCTGATGCAACTGCACGTTTGTCCACAATGGGGCCCGTCTGTCCGCTCCGGGAGAGGACTGGCTTCGGGCCGCGTCTCCTTGTCCTCGCTGCCCAGCAGGTGCCACCGTGTGCCGCCCCCGATCCCGCAGAGGCCCGAGTCCTGCTCGCGCTCCGCGCTGGTGGGGATGACGCGCATGTGCTCACAGGCACCGAGTTGTGTCATTGGGAGAGGATTGACCCGGCGCTTGAGTCTCATTCCATTTCGTTTCCGACATCATCGCTCTTCTCAGTTGCACCCAGAACTTGAAGGCTCAGCCAGGCCTCTCTGAAAACCAGACCCCGGGTGTGGCCAGCTGAGCTTCGGGGTCATCCCAGCGAGTTCAGCGTCGAGGACACACCGCCCCAGCCCGGCCATACGCTGGGGCACAGACCAGGGCAGCACCGAGTGGGCACCGGGATTTCATGGATACGGCGCCAGAGCACAGGCAGCAAAGGCAGGAACGGACACACGGGACTAATTCAAACCGACAGCTTCTGCCCAGCGAAGGAAACAGTTCAGAGTGAAAAGGGAACCCGCAGAACGGGAGGAAATATTCGCAAACCACAGCTCAGATAAGGGGTTGATTTCAACAATACTAAGAAAGTGCTACAACTCAAAAGCAGAGAAACTAATAATCCAATTAAAAATGGGCAAAAGATCTAAATAGACACGTCTCCCAAGAAGACACAAGTGGCCAACAGGGACAGGAAAAGACGCCCAACACCCCTACTCCTCAGGGAAGCTCAAACCCAGCGAGCGGCCCCTTGCACCTGTGAGCGTGGAGACCAGAGACCAGAGGTCAGTGCTGGCGACGATGGGAAAGGGAACCCTGAGCGCCGGTAGGCCTGTAAATGGGTGCGGCCACTGTGCAAAACTATGTTCCTCAAAACCTAAAACCAGGACCACCTCACAGCCCAGCAATCCCACTGCTGGCTGTTTACCAAAAGAACTGAAATCGGGACCCGGCGAGGGGTCGGCACCCAGTGCTCCGAGCAGCACTCCCACAGCCACCGGGCTGCGGAGTCACACGCCAGGTCCTGGCCGAGAAGCTGGGGGAGAACCTGGCAGGTGGCGCAGCGGATGCGGGATGCGATCGACCCCAAGGAAAGGAGCCTGCGCTTCAGCAGCAGGCGAACCGAGGGCAGGGTGCTCGGCGGAAACGGCCAGTCACAGAAGGGGAGCGCGGCTTGAGTCACCCACGTGAGACCTAAGCAGCCAAGCGCCTGGGCTCAGAGCCGAAGGACGGTCAGGGGCTGGAGGGGGAGGAGAGAAAGGGGAACCGGCCACCAGGTGACTCGAAGGTTCAGTCACGCAGAAGAGTGCGTCCCATAGACCCGCCGTGCGTCACTGTGCCCGAAGCTGCCTCACTGTGGTGCACGCTCAACACCTGCCAAGCATCCTCACTACGGTAAGAAAACAAATCAGATCAAAGCAGCGACGCTTCGAGACAGAAAAATGAAATCCATCTGGGAAGCATAGAGAAGAGAAATTACTACTAAAAACATAATCAAATGCATTTTTGCTAATAAAATTTAAATGAAAATTTAAAAATTAAAAACAATTCATGAATCAAAAAAGAAATTAAAATAGAATTTATATAAGAGTAAGGAAATAATAAAGAGATTAATGACATAGAAAGCAAGGAAAAAGTAAACAGAAACAACAAAACTGGTTCTTTTACACAGAAAATAGTAGACCAGTGCCTGGAAAGGTGAATCGAAGGAGGGAAAGAAGAGAAAGCTATAAACACAACAGAAATTAAATAGAGGGACAGTGTCATAAATATATTAGAGATGAACAAATAAGAGACTATAATGGACAATTTTATTCCAAAAACTTTGAAAAACACATGTAATAGATAATTCCCTAGGAAAGTAAAAATGACCAAAATCGACACAAGAAGAAACAGAAAACTAAATAAACCAATAATCACTGAAAAACGGAATCAGCAAACTCGGGTGTCCGTCCCCAGCAGGCAGCGCCGGTGCTGTGACGGCCCCTCCCAGAGCCTCGGGCCCGGGTCCTCACCTCAGCGCACTGACTCGGAACCGAGGACAGACCCGGCTGCCCAGTTCATTTCCCGTGAATCCGGCGAGGACAATACAAAAAAAATAAATTCACAGACCAATGTTAGCTATGAATTCAGACGGGAAAATCCTAATGGCAATGTCAGTGCTAGAGAAGCAGCAGTCATGAAGGGTTCAGTCCCTGGGAGCCGGTCGCGGCTCAGGACCCCGAGGTGGCGCCCACACCCACAGGCCAAGGGGAAACGTGTGATGGTCACAGATGCAGAAAAAGCAGGCAGTGAAATCCAAGCCATTCGCCTTCTAACAAGACGCGCACGACTCAAAGGGCAGAAGCAAACGGGCAAGACGCCGACAATGTTAAGCCCAGGTGTGGGCTCACGATGACCGACACAGTCTGTATTTTCTGTGTTCTGGGAGTGATTCATAATTTTAAAAGGAGCGTCCTCGGGGGATAGACACAGGCCCTAACAGGGGGAGTTCTGGAAAACAGTGCGTGAGCTGCTGAAGGGAGGGCCTGGGTTCCTGCTGTCTCCAGGCCGCCCGCAGGAGGCGCTGGGATGGGAGGGTGCCCTCGGGTGAGGGCTGGGGGCTCCACAAACTGCTCCCTCACCTGCACATCCCCCTCCGCCCTGCGCCGGAGGCCAACTCCCTCACTTGCTTCCCCTCGCACCGAAAACCTGACCCACGCCGCCTCCAGCGAGTGGGCCACCTCCCCACACCGCCCACCATCCATCACCCTGGGGCCACTGCCACCCTTGGCCGGCCTGGCCAGTACTAAGCGCCCACTGCTGTCCAGCTGGTGGAAGAGCCTCAGGGACTGAGTGACGAATTCCGTGCCAACTTCCAGCCACGGCGGGGACACTGGGTGAGTCCAAGGCTTCCCTCTGAGCCCTCAGTTCCAATCTTCGAAAGGGGAGGTGAACACGCTTCCCCGTTTACCTCCCAGGACCAAGGTTATAGAAGCAAGCCTATGTGGCAACCATGTGCTTCACACGTGGACAATCTTCACGTGAAGCAGACATGGAGTGAGGCAAACTGCGTGCACCGTGGTGGGACCCAGGGCGCCAGGAGCCTGTCCCTCGTGGACCCTCCACCTTGCCTGGTGGTCTTCAGGGTGCTCCCACGGACACGTGCCTCCAGCAGGCAGCGCGCTGGGCACCCATCCACACGACTGTGCATAATCACACGGTGGGCACCTTTCTGGGTTCCCCTGCACGATGAAGCTCAGAGTGGCAGTTCATCCACTTTCACTGTCCCCAAGCGTCCCCTACACATCTGCCACAGGCCATGGATGCCTCCAACACTTTCCTCCATGTGGAGATGTTTCTCCAGTGTCTCCCTGAGATGGGGACTATGGGGTCACAGAATATGCACGTCTTTGTTGTTAATGACAAATAGTCCCTGGTCCCCAGCGCCTGTAAGTGTAGAAACAGTGCTTTCTATGAAAACAGACCTGGGGGGTGGGGCACAGGCAGTCGGACCGTCCCTGGGAGGTCAGTCCTCTCTGTTAAGAGCGCTGAGGGCGTGTGAGGGTCCAGCCCACTCATGCCACAGACGTCGCTCGGGAGATCTCCCGCACATAGCACTTCCCAGGGTGGTGATTAAGGAAATAGGAACGGCCACTGGGAGACGGGAGGACAGGTGACGGAGCACAGGGCTGACCTGGGGGCGGCTGGGCCCTTGGGCGCTGGCTCCGAGGAAGAGCAGGTCTACCTGGAAGCTACCTGCCTAGGGGAGGAGGGGACAGTGACAGAATACTTACAGGTGTGCCTGCTTCTCTGCTAGTTCTTTGGTTTTCTCCTACAATGCAAAGGACAAAAAAGCAAGCATGAGAAAAACAGAAGCCGCGGGTGGTCAGTGAGAACCCAGCGCAGACGTGGGACACCATCTACATGAAAGCGCGGCCTCGAGCTCCAGCTGCGGCACTCCGGCCAAGCCCCTGCTGGCCACGTCAGGACAGTTTCCCACTGGATGTCACAGCTTCCTGCTCGTAACTGAATGTGACCTTCCCATTCCCACCACGGGGATTTCTCAGCTGTCCAGCTTCCACAGCAACTGGCCATTTCAGAAACAGGATCGCTCAGACCCATTACAAATGGCAGGAGAAAGGTTCCACTAACTCTTACTGTAAACATCACACAGTGAAAATAGGGAACAGGAGCTGAATGTTTGCAAGTGTGTTTACACATCCCAACAGGGCTCGGGGTTTAGCCGGCATTTTCTGGGAGGCATGTGATAGATGGGGCCCAGGATGCTCAGCACCCTTCGGTACTCATGGGCTGCAGTCTAGGGACCCATCCTGCAGGGAAGGTTTTCAATGTACAGAAGTCGACCAGTCAGCCCTGTGTCCCCACCACCAAGTTGACAAGGGACCTGCAGTGGGGTGCTGGCAGAGCTCAAACTGCTCCTGGCAGAAAGCAAGGGGCACCCAGGCCAAATAGAGGCTCTGGGCTCCAGGCACCCTGTTTCTGGGCATGTGGGGGGCCGGGCTTGGCCGTGGGGAGGACACAGGGACCAAAGCGAATGAAGCCATGCCCAAGCCCACAAGGGTGAAGCGCCATGGGGTGCCCCAGCTGGAGGTGCGACAGGCAGGACAGGCCGGCCCTTGGCCAGAGGAGGGACTCCGCTCCCTGAGTGAACCCACCCAAGCCTGCGACTGACCCAGACTGTCTCGCGGATCGCTGTCGCTATCTTGAGCAGGAGCTGCCCAAAGGAGCCAGGCTGGAGGCGGGTGGCCGAGTGCTGGATGCAGAGGCAGAGGAGGAAGGCAGGGGTCAGCTTGTGGTCGTCGCCGCCCGGCTCGATCAGCGTCATGATGCGCCGCAGCAGCGCGTCCTCCACCTCGGGCTCGAACTCCAGGTGCAGCTGCCGCGGCCGGGAGGCGCCCGGGGCACGGAGCTGGGCTCCGCACATCCTGCAGCTGTGGGGCAGGGCCCGGAGGCGGGCCAGCGCCTGGGTGGGCAGGGGCCGGGCCTGCGCCGGCTCCTTGAAGAGCAGCAGGTAGTAGAGGCCCAGGGACAGCAGGTCCCCGTGGCGCAGCACCACCGTCCGGGTCCCCACCTCTGAGAAATTGACCGCAATGGGTGCCCCAGGGATGGGCTCCAGGACCAGCAGGCCCCCCGCCTGCTCGCGGCCCGCGGGGTGGTGCCGGCGGAGGGTGCAGTGCAGGGGCAGGATGTCGGGGGCCGAGAGGCTGATGCTGGGCTTGCTGGAGGGGGTCCTCTGGCCCACCGTGTGCCGCTCCCGGTTCAGCACGTACACCAGGCTGTCCTGGAAGGCAGACAGGGCCCTCAGGGCAGGACCCCTCCTGCAATGGCAGTGTCCCTGTCCATGGTACCTGTGCAGGTGGCCGGGAACCACTGTCCCCGTTCTCCGAGTTCTGGACACCCCCTTCCTCACTGGCTGCTTGCCCCCAGCCTTCCCCACGGGACGCTCACCCTGTCCCAGGGAGGAGCTTCCCCATAGTAGCCTTGGTGGCTGCCAGAAACCCAGGGAGGACCCCAGTGTGAGATGCAATAGGCCAGACAAGGGCCAGGCTGGACAGACACTGACTATAGCCACAGGCTAAGCCCCCAGCTGGTCCATGCCGAGCGCGGAAGCACCTCCTTGCTGCCCCAGCTTCTCCAGGGGAGGTGCCTCCTAGGCCCAGGTGTGCACCGAAGCTGGAGTGGGAGGGAGCGAGGCGGTGGGGGGGCATCTGCGGAGCAGCCACAGGGCCCGGTTGCTAAGGGCCAAGACCCTTCCAGCCAACACTGCTCTAGAGCCCATCACGGCCAGAGCAACAGGAGCTCACTGCTGACTGAGCACATGGCAAGAGGCCTCTATTCTGAGGACACCCTGTGGCCTCCTGCTCAGGGNTCTGGGGAAGGCGGCTCACGTGCTGCTGGCTGTAGCCCTGCAGAAGGAGCAGGTGGGGCGACTCGTAGAGGGAGTAGCGCATGGTGTCCTGGCCGGGCTCCTGGGTGGCGGCAGGGCTCAGGCTGGTCTCACTGGCCGAGCGGCGTAGCTGGGGCGCAGGGGGGCTCTGGGTGCCCCCCGAGGCCAGGGCTGGGGTTCCCTTGGCGCGGCTCCGCTGCAGCCTCCGGGCTTGGGCGTTTATCCCTGAAACAGAAGCCACGCGGGGTAACCGGCCAGAGCCTGCGGAGGCCTCCAGGCCCTTCTGGATTCCAACCTCAGGAGCCGCTTCACCATCACCGGGCTGCCCGCCTGTCGGGGAGACTACAGGGCTCCGCCCACTGACCTGCCCTCACCAGGCTGGACCTCCAACCCCCCTTCCAGAGCCAGGCAGGCCAGCTGTCCCCTCCTGAGGCGCCTGCAGGAGCCCCACGGCGCAGGCAGCCAGCCCCACCGCCCTCTCCTGGGCCGGCAAACCCACCACAGCATCAGCTGCTGCTAGGTCACAGTCCAGGTGCCACACCACCCAGAAGCCCACCCGTCCCATCCCGCCAGCCCTCCTGTGCATGTGTGTGCATGTGTGTGCATGTGTGTGTGCTGACTGATGAGATGGGAACCGTTCATTGCATCCCCCCCATTTTACAAGGAGCCAGCTGGTCTCCTAGGACAGCTCACTGCCCCTTCCCAAGGCTGCGTCCACACTGCCAGGTCAGAAAGCACATGCACATGTACGCACACACACGCACACCAGGTCTGCGCGCACACGTACATGTATGCATATGCGCACACACAAACCCATGCACGCATAGGCACATACATGTGCATACACAACACCCCACAAAAGACAGTCTTCTCCATCCCAAAGCATCCTTTTGCGCTAATGCTGCGGAGAGCTGAGAAGTCACCTGACCCACGAGTGCCAGTCTCCCACCCCCTGCCCCCTGCTGACCCTGGCGCTGTCTTCCTGAGACCCCTCCTCCTCCCCATCTGCAGCACCCCTCCCTACAGCCACTCCACACAAAACCAAAGCCAGAGGATGTGCGCAGGGAGGGCGAGCTGGGGCCAAGGGCGCTGCCTTACCGGGAGCTGGAGCCCAGCAAGCGTGAAGACCGACCTGCCCTTCCAGAAGGAAGCCTGCTCGTCCGCAGCCCACTGGGGCCGGCCGGGGCTGCAGGAAGCAGGAGGCCGAGCCGCAGTGCAGGCCTGTCAGTGGCGCAGCTGCTGCTCCCTGCCTGCCTGCCTGCCTGCCTGCCT